GACAGGGTCTTACAATGTTTCACAGGCTAGCCTTGAACTTGTGATCCTCCTGCCTCAGTCTACTGAGTAGCTGGGATCACAGGTGTGGACCACCATGCCCAGCCTCTTCTATTCTTTTTGTTTTCCCTTTCTGGCTCTCTGATTAACTATATGCTGGATCTTCTCATTCTACTCTCTTACCCTCTATTTTATATTTTCATTCTTAAAATTTGCCACTTAATCCACTCAATTTCATACTCCAACAATTTTTTTTTTCATTTTTATGATCTCCATTTGCTTTTTTCCTTGAATATTTCTGACCATTCCTAGTTTTGCCACTGTATATTCAGTTTGTAATTGAACCCTCTACTTCTTCATACTTTGTTCCAGATGTTCTGGATCTTACAATTCCAACTCCTCTGTTCTTACAGACTGTGCATTCTGACTCTATTGCTTGCCTTCCTTGGTGTCTGCCAGTCTTTGCTTGATTTAAAACCATGTGGCTAACATGGTGAGCCTTGCCTTCAGGTAGCATTTGCTTCTGCCTCTGAAGGTAGTCAAGGGGCTTCCCTGAACCAGGATTACTCTGGATGCCCTAAAGATTTTTGATGAGAGGAGGAGTCTCAAAAGTCTCCTTCGTTTGTTTGTTTTCTTGCTTGTTTTTTTGTTTGTGGTACTAGGGATTCAACCCAGGGCCTCGCACAGGCCAGCAGGTACTCTACCACTGAGCCACACGTCCAGCCCCTCAGAAGTCATCTTCTTGCTGCTTTCCAAGCCGGTATCCCCGCAGCACAGTTGACCTGTCCTCATGGTCACTCTTCCCTCCTTCTGGGTGCACGGCAGGGCACCTTTGCTTCTCCACGGCTCTGCTTCTCTGCTTCTCTGCCTCTGTACGTTCCTGGGTTTCTGTTTTCTGAGTGTTCCTGCAGTGGCTTTGGAACATTTCTAGTCTCTCTGGTTCCTAATTAAATTTTAACTTTTAATTTGGCAGAGAGGGATATGGGGAGAAAGGCTGGGCTGTCTTTTATGGCCCTTTTGCAAGAATAGATGTGTCTTAAAGCGTCCCAAGTGTGGTAAAGTTGCACTCCACTGTAAAGTGTAGTATTCTGTTTTTTTTGTCAGCTTGTCCTTCTGTCAAGCAGGCTTTCTTTTTTCTTATGACCACATCACTAATGCTGCACTGATCATCCTTGATGGGTCTTCTTGCAACTCGTGTGTCTCCAGACCTCACACCTGCTAGTTGTAGGGGTTGATAGCACTCCTGTTGCTCCAGGTGTGAGAAAATGGATCTCTTGCATACAGTTGTCAATACACCAAAATTAAACATATGTACATACAAAGACTCAATAATTCTACTTCCAGGAAATTGTCTTGCCAATATTTTTTAGGTAATATCTTAATCACTGGGTGAAATTAAATGCACAACTTCTGTTAGTGTTGTCTGTCATAAATCATCATACAGAGAGGTTTCTTTTTAAAAATTGAGTTAAAGTCACACAAGGCATACATAAACAACTGCCAACAGCTTAAGTTAAAAAAGCAGGCTGAAAAACAGTACCTTGAATACAATGCCTTGTTGGAAAAGTTTTGTAAAATTTTATCCATACTAATGATATCTTTGAGATTTTTTTCATCAAGCTGCTATGTGCAGCTATCTTCTGTGGTCGGCAGAGGGTCTGTTAGAACTTTTGTTTCCTGCTTCAAAATGTCTGTATTGCTTGAGGCTTTGTTT